TCCCTCCCCTTCTTTCCCCTCCTGCAGGCCCGTGAGGTCTCCAACCAGATTGCAAGCTACCTGAGTGAGGATGTTCTGGACCAAAACAGGTCCCTGCTGTTCATGCTGTGGGGCCAAATCGTGGACCACGACCTGGATTTTTCCCCCGACACTGAGATGGGGAGCAGCGAGTACTCCAAAGAGCAATGTGACAAGTACTGTATCCAGGGAGACAACTGCTTCCCGATCATGGTAGGCCCTGCGGCTGCGCGTCCCTGACAGCCCTGGCCTCCCTGATGGGGCAAACATTTCCAGCCCATCAGCCAGGGTCTCTGAGCAGATCTTGAGTGCTGATTTGACAGCTCCCCAGTCCTCACATGTCCATTCATTCGCTCACCCGTTTATGCAGGAAATAGACATTATTCATTTACTTCGTGCCAGGCAGCACACTGTGTGCTGGGATCCAAAGGCTGAGAGGACACTGTCCCTCCCCTCAAGGACAAAGGGCCTGTGTGGAAAATCGACAAGCAGCCTTGAATGGCAAAATCAGGAAGCTGTGGGGAGGGTTGCCTATGTCCCCAGCCAGCAGCATTGGCACCACGTGGGGATTTAGGAGAAATGTAAAATCTCAAGCCTCATCGCCGACATTGGGAAACAGGACCTACACTTTACCAGGATCCCCAGGAGATTCGTTTCATACACAGAAAAGTTGCTGTGATAATCATCCTGGGGTCCTGGAAGGCTACTCCCAGAAAGAACTGAAACTGTCAGAAATTGTGGGAATTTCCAGCAGGAAGGGAGAGGAACTTGCAGTGCTGCCCCTTCTTCATGGATTTTAGGGTTAGAAAGTGATTTCGTCACTCAAAACAACAAACGAGTCAAGGCTATGTGCTATGATGTGAAGCACCTGAGCTGTGGAGTGAGGCCAATCCGGATCCGAGTCTCACATCTTTCCTTTCCAGTTTGTAAGTTCTTGGGAAAAGTACTTAACCTTTCTGAGCCTCAGTTTTCTCACCTGTAAAATGGGACTGAATTAGCTACCCTATAGGGTTTTATGAGGACCAAAGGGAGAAAGTATACATAATGCCTAGCACATGGTAGGTGCAAAATACATATGTAGTAGCTGTTGTTGGTAGCAATTATTAACAAACCCTTTCCATCTCAGGCCCTGCTTCCCCGTCCAGGGATCTCAGGACTCTCTCCCGCCAAAAATGTGGAGCCCTATCTGAAAGATTGAAAGATTCCCCTCGGCCCTTTTACACAGCGGGATGTAATGAACTTCAGGGTTGTGGGCCCTGGATGTGTAGCATCAGCAGGTATCTAGAGTCAGTGTCTGATACTGCGGTCCCAGGAGGACACCATCAGCATCTTTGCCAGCTTCATCCAGGCCTGCTCTGGGGAGAGATTGCCAGGGCCCAGCTGTACCACCTCTGCCCAGTCACCCACCCCCAATCTCTCTGCAGTTCCCAGAAGATGACCCCAAGGTGAAGACTCAAGGGAAATGCATGCCTTTCTTCCGAGCCGGGTTCGTCTGCCCCGCTCCGCCATACCAGACCCTGGCCCGAGAGCAAATCAACGCTCTGACCTCCTTCCTGGATGCCAGCTTAGTATATGGCCCTGAGCCCAGCCTGGCCCGCAGCCTCCGCAACCTCAGCAGCCCCCTGGGCCTCATGGCTGTCAACCAGGAGGTCTGGGACCACGGGCTGGCTTTCTTGCCCTTTGACAACAAGAAGCCAAGCCCCTGTAAGTTCATCAACACCACTGCCAACGTGCCCTGCTTCCAGGGAGGTGAGTCTAGGGTGGAAACAAGGGAATGGAGAGCAGAGGAAAGCCAGAGAAACTTCACGGGGCCTCTAGGCAGCTTTGCCACGGCCTCTCATCATCTTATGGGAAAATGCACACCAAGCCACCGCTGCCTCTGGCACTGGCCAGCACTGGATACAGAATCTAAGGGCATGTGCTCACG